GTATGTATGTATGTATGTATGTATGTATGTATGTATGTATGTATGTGTATATTTTTTTTTCAGAAGTAGAAATTAATGCACGTCCATTCAGGTATAATGGACGTTAATACAGAGATTATGTAAAAAGGCTTACAGAGCCATTAAATGGTCAATGAAATGCTTGTAAATATTTTCCCAAGAACTGAAACAAGCAACTAAATTAAATGCTCATATAGTGACATCAAAGTAAGGCACAGAAACAAAAGTAGTATCAGGTAAAACAACAGAATATAGTGACGTACAGAAGGACCTGGTTTCCCATCTGATCCTGGACCACCTGGACTTCCTGTCAAGCCCTGAGTAAGAAAAAAAATTAATAAATGCATGTTCAAAGCAATAACTTTTCTAATCCTACTTTTTTATGTAAATGATTAAGAATACAAATGGGGATATAGCACTGGTTGGAGAATTTGTTTCAAGTACTTTTATTAGAGAAATCAAGTAAGATAGTTACTGTAAGTCAGGAATATTGGTCATTTCGTTACTGTAATATTAATATTTTATTTTTTTATTTAGATGAGGTTTTTTTCAAGAATCAAGTTCACGATGGAGATAAAAAACTTTCCTGACAATTTCTAGCTGACTTCCCTTTATGGGGAAAACCCTTAGCAAATTTGGGCTTGGTTCATACATATATGGGAGGGCAACACAGAATCTCAGGACTATAGTCTAGAGTGGGAAGATGAAATACATCTTTGAGGAAAGAAACAGGAAACCATTTCTAAATTGTCTACCTAGCTGTGTCCATATCATCACTGAATTTGACCTGACATAGTATTTGCCTTTATTAAGAATCTAATCATTTGAAATGAAGCTCAAATTACTTTTACTGGATGGTGTAAAAACAATTGATTACTACAATCATCCTGACAGATAACCAAATGACTAAAGAAGCTTATGATTCTTCAGTTCACCAAACGTTAAGTTGCAGGCAAAAACTCAACCCAATAATAATGAAACCCAATACCAACATCATTTTGTACCATGGTTCTTGGTCCTAAAAGTCTATTTATCAATTCTTTAGGGTACTTTATCTGGGAGAGGATGATTCTACACACTTCATTTCCCAAGAGAGCTATCCTACACTCACTGATTTAAAGATTTACCTGAGTAAGTAACCTGTTCATTTTTTTAAATTTTAATTTTTAATACACCAGGGAAGATTTTACTAATTCACAGGGGGAAAAAACTTCTTTGGGTTGCAGGTAAGGGCCCACATATTAAATAAATCTGGACATCCAGCACAGAAGGGACCAAGCTAGATTACATGTGTTCTTCCCGACGTTAGGTTTTTCTCAGTAGAGAGATTATTTTTCTTCTTCTAACAGCACCATTTTCTCACTACATTACCACAGTGAGGTACAGTTCTTTATAAGCTTCAAAACCTATCTAGCAGGACTTCACAATTTATCCTGGGCTAAAGACTTTGCCTTTTAGAGGGACCTTTGTTTCCAGAAACAATGAGTGAGCTATTAATTAAACCGATTGACTAGCAGCGACATTTAATTAAAATTAAAACAATTTCTAAAGGCTATGGCCTGGTCACATATTTAATACTGTTCCCTTTCCTTCACAGCCTGTCAAATTCTCTGAGGGCTATACCTCAAACTTTCTAGACTTACATTCTGAAGGGAACAGTAAAATATTACCTATAAAGAAAGCCAGGTATCTTATAGATATAACTGATTCTCAGAACTGCTTTCAAGATATTTGCCTTAAATGTAACAAGAATTTACAATCTGGAAATATGGAATCCGATCATTAATAAGGGAATGCATTGGTCTTTTTTGTTCTTGTTGCATCTTTCCTAATAATGTTTCTGAGTTTTATATTCTACACCCAGGAGATTTCTACTTACTCTCATTCCTGGAAGCCCAGGGCTGCCATCCCGTCCTGATTCTCCAGGAGCTCCTCTTGGACCAGCACTTCCTGGACTACCTCGCTCACCAGGTGGCCCCTTAAATGACATTGGACAATTTGATCATACAAAGAGATGAAGGAAAAGGGGATTACAAACCATAATTGTTCTGAACAAAAGTGGTAAATGTCTTTGGAAACCAAAAACTCTAAATAAGAAGCATATTATTCACCTTTTCACCTGTAGGTCCAGCTGAACCAGGCGTACCACGGTATCCCGGAGTACCCTGAAAAATAGAAACATAGACATTTTTATTGAAAAACCCATGAAGGGATTCCCAAAGATAGGAATATCATATAGTAATGAAGTTGAGAAATCAATGCGTATTTTCAGTTTGTGTTCTTATGTGTGATTATTCTGAGATTTAATGAATGGAATAATTGCATTATATCCTTGTTAACAAACTGAAGTGTAGCAAAACAAACATAATGATAACAAGATAATGTTCTCTATCGGTATTAACAATCCCATTGCCTTTTCTCTGGTGAATAACCATCATACTGCTTTTAATTCCAATTCTTCTGAATANAAACTGAATGCTTGCGACTTGGCAAGATATTTATTCATTATAACAGATTCTTTAACTTGTGTCAATCAACTTGCCATTGCATAAATTCATTGAAATGAGAAGAAAATTTTTTTTTTTATTAACAAGTTTAATATTTTTATATTAGAATTCTGGAATTCTAATTCTAGCTGTTTGAGGAAAAGCTGAACTATTAAAGAGCCTTAAAATTACTTGTATATGATTGATTGGTTATTGATTGATTATTGATTATATGCAGTCAATTTGATGCCAGCTCGTAGCAATCACATAGCTAGATTTTCCCTATGTTCCTAACCTGGTCCTTCAGTTTTTTTTTAATGTTACATCCATCATTCCAGTAACTAAGTTCATCCATTTTCTATATGCTCGCCTATAAGCTTAGTCTACTTCTTTTCACTCTGTTCACTGTATTCTCATCAAGAAACTACTCTCAACCCAGTAATACTCCTGGAGAATAAATCCATCTAACTCTTTAAAGAATCTTGACAGATCTCAGGAAAATTAGATCAACTAGACTACTTTTAATTTTATTCCTCTTAGTGTAGAAAAATGCTCATTAAAATATTTACAAAGTTGCACAAATTAAGAGACGAACTCCTGAAAAGGACTATAAAATACATGTATTTTTTTGGAAGGCTAAGTTCAGCAAGGGTTGAGGCAGAAACTGAAATTTCAAACTCATCTCTAGAGATAAGGATTTTGTTATGCCTGTCTCTTAATCTTGATTAGATAAGGAAGGAGTTGCTATGAATACTCTGGAAATAGATGCAACTAATCAATCAACTACACTTCCTAAACTATTCCTCAGCATTAGAAGTTCTTGGCATGCTTAAAAATATCCAGGATATAATATTAAATGCAAAATATTAAAAAAAAACTCTTTACACTCTGCTGGAAACAATATTGTTCTGTTGTAAATTAGATGAAGCAAACAAATTGTCCATGATATGACAGAATCTACTTACTCGTACTCCATCTTTACCAGGTAAACCATCTCCTCCTCTGCTTCCAGGCTCTCCCTATCCAAATGAAAGAAAAGAGCAGATACGTTGTGAATAAACTAACCAATAGCAACCTGTTGTACCATGCAGTTCATAAGCTTTCCCCAAACTAAAAAGGAACATTTAAGTCTTTATTTAAATATATATAATAAAGAGTNTATCAATGTTCTTTGGTTGTTTTTCTATATTGTTAGTGGAGAAGGACATTTTATATTATTTATAAATAGCAAAAAAAGTAGTAAGCTTTTCACTGGATTTGATCTATGAAGTTTGTATCTAGTTTCCTGAGGCCTTGATAGAATCCCACTTCTTTTCTGGATCCTTGTTCTGATTGTAGTCCTTTACTCAGCGCTATTCTGGTATATTTCTCCTTGTAGGAGAAGATAGGAAACTCCAGAAGACTCCACAAAAGAGGAAACATGGGGCACTTTGAAGGTTACAGGGAGGCAGATATACAAGTGAGCATGTTACTTGAACATTACCTCTGGATCCAAGTCAACTTCTTTAAACTGAGGCATTTTCAGAGTCAACATCTAATCTACATTTACATGTTTATTGCCTCAATATATAAATGAGGAGACATGTGTATTGCCCCTCCTCTCCGAGATTATCTATAAATGTTATAAATTTTTACTCAGCATGTAATTCTCTTAAAACATTTTCTTACTGTTAATGTCTGGACCTTCTGGCCGTCTCATTTTTTTAGATTATCAAAATTACACAACAGGAAGAAAACGGTTGACAATCTCCACGTATTGAAAAAAAAGTGAAAAAATAAACAAACCCTGAAATCCAGCAGTTATTTCCCTCTACCCAAATCATGTCCTTGTCTCAAAAGACATTATTCAGAATGTCTTACATAAAAGACATTCTATAACATGGCACATTTTGTGTGTATCTGAATTCATTTTTCATGTAATCATGACAATAAAAAAAAAAATAACATGCGGATGACTTACAGGTGGACCTCTTTGTCCAGGGATTCCATTAGTTCCAGAAGGACCAGGAGGACCACGAGCTCCACTTAGACCAGGAGCACCAGGAATTCCAGCAGCACCCTGGATAAAACCAACATGTGCTCAAGAAAGATACCATGGAATGATTTGAGTCAACATGCACATCTTCTAGGAAAATGCAATGGCACACTCTGCCTGGGAAACTTACTGGAGGACCTTTGGCACCAGGATTTCCATCACGTCCTCCAGGACCCTATTGACAAAACATAATAGCTTTTATTAGGTTATGTATTTTTTTAAAATACTACGATCTTACTAAAATCTAAAATAGACTTGACACATCATTTTATAAAGAACATATACTTACAGGAGGACCAGAACCTCCAGGTTGGCCTGGGGCACCAGCATCTCCTTTTGGTCCAGGAGGTCCACTAGAGCCTGCAGGACCAGCCGGACCTGTTTCACCCTGTGAAAAAGAGAGGGGGGGGNAAAAAAAGATTAAACTCAGAGGAAGGGGCCTTTAATTACGGCAACTATATCACTCATACTATATGTATCTTTAGAGTGGCATGCCAAAAAAACCCACTTTATCTTTATTCATGTATTGATAATCAAAAACTTACATCTTTTCCTGAAGGCCCAGGGGGTCCTATCATTCCTGGGGGGCCAGGAGCACCCTGGAAAGAAAAATAAAGTTACATAAAAGCCAAAGATAAACAGATGCTTTCCTTTTTGAGCTAGTTTGGTGTAGTGGTTAAAGCACCAAACTAGCTCTCAGAGAAACCAGGTGGTTGTGAGTTCTAGTCCCTTTTTATGCATAAAACCATCCGGGTGAACTGGGCTCAGTCATTGCCTGTCAGCCCCTATGAAGACAGCAACGGCAAATACTGATTTGAAGGCATATACTCCTTCCACAAATTATAAAAATGTAGGATGACAAATCAAATTTCTCACTGAGGAATTCAGATCTGAGGGAAGTATATTTTGTGTATTGCTAGGCCATTGCAAAGTGATTGAGTTGCTGATTGTATACATCACTTTCTGTTTCAACAATATCAAAATATATGTGAGATTTTACAAGCAAGCTAAATATTTTGCTAATTACGTAACATACAGTAATAGGCTTTGGAAGTATTTCAAGGATATGATTTTTCTATACTTCTACCAGCTTCACTCCCCAAAACAGTTTCTCTTCAAACTGATTTTGAGGATTTGGTAAATGAAGTTGTGGAACAGAACACAGTGGGTTCCTGCAGACATCTTCACTTCTTTCTTGAGAAATGGTGAGTAGGAGTTAAAAATTACTGTCCCATCCCAGGATGAGTTGTAACATGGCCTATTAACAAAAGAAAACAGCCTACAACACCCCCCACCCCAGCTCCACTCCCTATTCTCATCTTTTTTTTTTACATTGCATTATTTGTCTGGCTGTCTGAAAAATAAAAACACCTCAAAGTGCTCCTATGAGGAGAGATCTGAAAACTGCAGATTTTTAAACAGCCATTCCTCTTAAAAGACCTACTAATGCAGGTCTAGCCTGTGTGTTAAGTGGTGGAGTGAAGCAAGAATTCCCATTAATGGTGAAACAGCCATGAAAAATGAAACTATATTAGAAGAGAAACTAGCTTTTCAATAGCCAAATACTGGAAATAATTTCATGTGTTTGTCATATTTCAAATCCTTGAAAATAAATTGGTTTCANAAAAAGCACTGGATTTTCATTTTCTCTGCCTTATTTGCAAATTTTAGTGTACATTATAAATTTATCTAATCTCCAGGTCTCAAGAGTTTGGGACCTTAATCTTTTTAATGGAAAGGTGGGAGAAGTAATATTTGAAAATATTATTTTATTTTAAATATTATTAGAGACCCAATTAAGGTGCCAGGTTAGAAATCAGAAGACTGTGATTTCTATTTTCCACCTTAGACATGAAAGCCAGCTGGGTAACTTTGGGCCAATCACTCTTTCTCAGTTCAGTTCACCATGGCTTGGGGTTGTTATGGTGATATAAAATATAAAAAGTCTAAATTTTCAAATGGGATTTTGGTGATCATAGGACCATCATTTGTACTTCAGCCAAGAATTTCACTATGGGAAATCAGAAAAGGAATGGGAAATACCTGAGAGAGAAAGAAGAGATATACTTACAGGTTGACCAGCTGCTCCAGGACTACCATCATTACCACGAGAACCCTGAAAATGCCAAAGAATTGATTAGAAACAAATGAATGTTACTTGTGGTGTTTTAAAAATAACTAAGCAATATCACAAAGCTTACAATAATGAATGATCTCTAACCTTTCCTAACTTCTCTGAACTCATTTATTTATAGATATTACAGTTCTTTGATAATTAAATATGGAGCCCTAACATCTTAAATGTACATAATAAAATATGCAGTATATGGGAAAAAACTTGATGCCATCTAATTATGTATTCATTATGTAATTGCATTTTTTAAAATAAAATGAACTGTTCTGTGAAAAAGATTCTGTGTCTTATCACGAAATCTCCTCAACTGGGATCGTATTCTGGTAGTCTTTTTTGAAGTGGAGCATGCAAGCCAAATATGGGGCAAAGGAGGAACACATAAGAGTCAAAAATAGTGAACAATAATTCCCAGTTTTCATTGATCAAATTATAAATCTGGACAACATACCGCTAGAAAACAATAGAATCAGAAATGGCAAAGTTGTGCCCTTGTAAAATGTCTCCAAAAAGACTGATTTTGCCAGAGCAACCNAAAAAAAAATCAATAAGAAAATAAATTGGTTCAGCCACTAAATATGAAATAATTATAACAATGCTGCGGGCCCTGCTGATGAGGTACCTTTGTCTGATTATAGTACCATTTAATTAAGTGTAGAATAACACAATATTCTGTTACATAATGATTTCTTTTCTTATGGGGACATATATTTAAAAGCATATACATATATTTTCTTTAAAAAAAAAGGTAGCAACTTGGTTTATTCCTGATCTGATCTGCTCCAAACAAAAAGTTGATCTCCAGAAGAATGTTCAACTTATGGAAGAATAGATTTTCACCAAATCACCCTTCCTCCAGTTGTATTCAGCATCATAACCTTTTGGAAAACTCCCCAATCTACCAGGGCATATTTTCAGAAAAAGATTGTAGAGAGGATGAAACTAAGTATTCATCCCATTATTACCTGGAATGATGACGTTTACAGAATTTTTCCCTATCACATTTAGATCCAAACCATTGTAGGCCACGTCTGCTCTCAAATCATAGCTCTAAAAAGCTCTGGCATGTTGTTAGAAAGTTCCTTGGTAAACACACAGCTTTTAAAACACAGTTGTATATATGTGTGGGTGATTGTCCATGACCTCTAAACAACACAATAGTCCAAGAGGCATATGCTTTCATTGATTCACTGACAAATGTGCGCCCGACAAATGTGCTTCGACAAAACCGCGCCGATGAAACCGCGCCGCGACGAAACAAACAACATAGTGGGACGCGAAAACAACGTTATAACCCTAACCCTAATCCTAACCCTAACCTCTAACATTGTTTTTGCATCCCACTATGTTGTTTGTTTGGTCGTGGCGCGGTTTTGTCGGCATGGTTTTGTCAGTGCGCATTTGTCGGATGAGCATTTGCCGGGTCACGCTTTCATTAACTCATGAAGCAAACTACTTTTCAAACTGGATAACTAACACATGTACACCACTGGTGGGATTCAAATAATTTAACAACCAGTTCTCTGCCCTAATGAATTCTTCCAACAACCAGTTCACCAAACTGCTCAGAAAGTTTACAACCAGTTCTCCTGAAGTGGTGTGAACTGGCTGAATCCCACCACTGATGTACACACAAACAAGTCTATCTTACAATATGATATACTGTATAGTATGAGATCTTCAGAAATGAATATTGATACTTACAGGAGCTCCAGCTTGCCCAGGTTCACCGGGTGAACCTTGGTATCCATGAGGTCCCTAATGAAGAAAAGAGGAGTTGCTTTCATTAGATCACTGTATACCATATCTACAATCAGATGGAACAAATTTCCACTATGTGAATAATCAGATTATTAGGAACGATAGGGAATTGGACCAGATGAACCCATTCTATTTCATTTGTGCATATAATAATGTAATGTGTCTTATAAGTAATTGGTTTTTTTGTACAAAGCACTATATAAAGGAATGTTGGTTTTCTGTGTTTCTTTTGTCCTCCTTCCTCCTACCCCTATGGAAGGGGTATCTACCAAGTGAGGGTAATAAAACTCAAGTTAGCAGCCACAACTATAGAATCAGCCTTCCCCCTATATCCTGTCCTGTGGGCTGCATTAGAATTGATTCTCATTATATCTGAATATGATGAGAGCCACTTTGATGTAGTCACTGGCTAGAAACAGGAGACTGTGATTTCTAATCCTGTCTTAGACACAAAAATGCCAGCTGGGTGGCCACTTTCTCTTAGTCCTAGAAAACAGGCAATGGCCATCCGCTTCTGAAATCTTGTCAAGAAAACTTCAAAAACTTGTGTAGGCATTTTCTGGAAGTCAAGATTGATTCAAAGGCAGCCTCCCTTCCTCACTAGAAGTGGATTGCTCCTGATTTGGCCTGGTTCGGGTGAACAGGTAGTGGTGGTGGTGGGAGGCTTTGTCTGCCCACCCAGATGCTTTTGCGCATGTGCAGAAGCATTGCGAGAGCATACGAGTGCGAGTGCATGCACAAGTAAACCAGTAGTAAAAATAATGGAAACCCACCACTGCTCCCCATCTCTGAATTCTGTTTATCTTAAAACAAAGTCTATAGTTTGGCAGTGATCCAGATGCAATACCCTATTTTGTTTTAAATACTTAACATTCCAAAATTTAAAGACAGCCTTTCAGAAAACGTATTGGTTCAAAATATCTTTAGCAGCCCTACTAAATAGCAGAAGGCTACAGAATGTATTGTTCTTTGCTGTGCTCAAACTATGTTCCTTAGAGTTTAATGCACAATCTTGCCTTCCTTAGTGACATGGTTATCATAACCAACCAACAGTATAAAATATAACTTGAAAGCAGAAAAAGAAACGAGAAATACTTACAGATGGACCTGGCGGACCAGTATGACCAGGAGGGCCAGCAGGACCAGGTGGGCCAGGAGGGCCGCTGCCGCCACCACCCTATGGGGAAGATTGAAAAACAATGCAATGAATTGCAGATAAAATTTTTAATTCTGTATCGAAATAAGAGTGCAAAGGGCAGTGCGTATACTGTAACAAAAGCGAGTTATGTGAAAAGTGGAAATGCTTTTAACTTGACCTGCTCTAGTGTTAAATCAGCATTTCAGTTCAGTTTCAATTGGTTTCACTTCCTAGGCTGGGGTTAAGACAAAAATAACTCATTACACACAAAGCAATGAACAAGGCAGCTCCAGTCATTAGGATGAGATAGAAGGTTCTGTTGGTAAGCCATGTTCATTTGTGTGCTGCCTGTGATTAATTATGGATTCTGGGAATTGAGACATACCCCAGGTTGACCTAAGTAGAGTTACCAGTTCCTCACCTGGGGACTCTGCTTGTCTCATGGGAAAACTTGGGAAAGGTAGTATAAGGCTATGAACTTTGAGCACTAGGGAAAAGGTACATGACTTATTTGATCTCTCTCTCTCTCTCTTTCTCGTAGTAGCATGGCCATTTTCTTTTCTCTACATATTGTTTCCCTCTATCTTGTTTTAAAAATGCGTATCCAACTTCTCTGCAAGAATGTTGTATGGTTTGTTGAATAAGATTGCAAGATGTTCACTCTTGTTCATTAACTAAATATCCAGCTCTATTCACCTTTATTGAACGCATACAATTTTAATAGAAATTGGGATGTGTAGGCCAGATACATGATATTTAGTCCAAAGCCTACATCTTGTCATCAAATGCTTATGTAGTTATACTTTAAGTAATCTACTAACAGATAATTCGTTATTTATCATTGTTTCAGGGGAAAAAGATTAAAACCTGCTGGCTTCTTAAAGTACAAGATATATATATATATATNTGGCAATGATAATAAGAGTTTATATTAAACTTTCACCCAACTACTTACTGAAGTTCCTGGAGGCCCAGCTCGTCCTCTTTCACCAGGCAGACCTCTGGGTCCCTAAGAAAGATACAAGATTTTTACAACCCAAAGCATTCATCACAGAAGGGACAGCTGTAAAACCTTCATTAAATAAAACATTACAGATGAATCCTAAGATTTGGATCAACCATGGTTCAAATTAGACATTTGAGGAAAGCAGGAATGTTTCATAGGTAACATGATTTTTTTTCCTTTCTCTTACTTTTAATTAGTTCTTTCTAGACTTCTCTTATTTTTAATCAGTTCTTTCTAGACTTCCTCAGATCAGAAGTGATTTAGGCAAGGATTAATTTAAAATCAGAAAGTGCAATAAGGTAAGATGGGACCTGCTTCAGACTTCACATTGCCATTCTGGCATTATATGTGAATTAGGCAAATACATAAAATTGCCTCCGGTATCCATGAACTTATCTCCATGGTCAATGAGTATCCCGAAAAAAATATTTGAAACTCAGCCCAGCCATACTTTTATTATTGCTAAGCTTAATTGCAACTAAATACTGATATGTGATAAACTTCATGTCCTTCTTCAACCAGAATGGAAATGTAAACCTGTCTCCTTATTACTTACTAGCTAATAGATTATCAAAGAGTTTTTTAGATTTTTTCCCATGTGGATAAGTAAAAGGATCCCATGTTTATGATAATTTTGTTGTTGTTTTCTCCCACATACTTTCTACAATATTGCTCAGAAAGTTACCATTGATCCTGGGGAACCATTTTCTCCGGGAAGGCCATTTTCACCCTATGTGATAAAGGGAATATTGGTCAATACATTGTCTTTATCATTCCATATTTGAGCAAACCACATTTACATCATTGTCCTAATTCCATCTTTCTCATATTCTCATCATTCCTACTACCTTCCCCTCTTGGTATTTTATGATTTATCATTTGTTGTTTGTATCTTATGATTTATGATCTATGACTTACTACTCTATTGTTTGTATATACATTGAGAGCTTATGCACCAGAGACAAATTCTTTGTGTCTCCAATCACATTTGGCCAATAATGAATACTCTCATTCCTGTTCCCAATTAAGCAAAAACCTAAGCACCCTAAAGCAAATTTCCATATTTGAATCTCTTTCTGCATCAGACCAGTTCAAGTACAAAGAAGAAGGGTCAGTTTGCACCAGTTGAAACTATACATACCATATCATTCTCCTTTGGGAGATCATTTTTATCAGTGAAAATGTAGCATGCAAACTTTAGAAATGAATAAACAAGCAAACTACCAATTTCCTAACAGAGTGATCTTTTTAGAAATAATGTGATGGGCAGTGAAGAGACAAAGTAATTGAAGACAACCTATTTTGCTTCATCAAATGATGAGGATGATGTTACTGTACCTGTCTATAGAGTAACCTCATGAGAAGAAAAAAGTATGTACAGGATTTTTTTAAGAACAGCTCAATATGCAGTGGTACTTCTCTATCAAACTCAATTTAATAAGAACATAAGATTTCCAACAACTAGCAGTCAAAAGCAGAGTGAAATTATGATTAGAGGTACTATATGGCCATTCTGATTAGCAATCCTTAATGGATCCATTTAATTAGTCTGGTTTTCAGAGTTGTCCATCAACTTGTTCTAAGTGAAGAAATATTTCATTGATCTCCTTTAAATAAACTTTTTGGGATGGAACATAGTTGTTTTATTTTAAGAAGTTTTTTTTTGGGGGGGGAGGGAGAGAGGTAAATCCCAATGCTAATCTCTAACTACTTTCTTCTCACTGTCCACAGATGGGTTTAAGGAAGCCTTCAGAAAAATTGAGTAATAGGTAATATAAATGGATATACATACATACATACATACATACATACATACATACATACATACATACATACAT